GACCGCATACATCATGTCCTGAATCTTAAGGCGGGCTGTGCACATCGCCATAGGGTGAATGCTTTGGGCGCTGGCTGTACGGAGGGAGAGCCCGGAGAGTGGCGTGGTCACTTTGCGCAGTAATCGGCTAAGTTTTGCGTCCATGACTGATACGGCGGCTCCAGTATCTACAAGGGCAGATGCACGAACGCCATCAACAAGTACGTCTATCACGTTCGATGGGCTTTCCTGAAGGCTTCCGCAGTTTGACAGCGTCGCAGCCCTTGCCTTGAGGGCTGCGACGACTAGTTTTCCTGGTCGCCCTCGAGTGGACGTGGCCGCATTAGCGACAATGTGCGAGGTCGCGGAGATGGTGAACGGCGGGTAGACGGAGCAGGGCGGGACGACGGTGACATAGGCGGCGGTTGGTCATAAGAGCGGCTTGATTGGCTTGGAAAGTTTGAGGCGACCTGCGGTTGCTGCACACGATTGCAATAGCGTGCTACGTGACCGACGCGACCACAAGCAAAGCAGATGGGGCGATCGTCAGCAGTGCGCCATCTGTTCGCGGGTCTCATCCATGTCGTAGAACGCGATGGGCGAGCCGGCTGCTGATATGAGTGCACGGTGGGCGGCACTCTGGGCACGTGGGTGACGTCGGCGTAAGTAGGCGACACAGTTTCTCCGAATGCTCGGAGCCTCGCGGTGGTTTCGGTTTTACTTAGAGGGCAAACCACAGAAATCGGTGGGGGCGGCCTGGCTACAACTTGGGCGTAGCTGAGTGGCGCAGATACAGGAGGCGGCTGGTGGTATTCAGGAACGACCTCCGCGATTTCCTGCTGAATGGCTCGGCGTAGCGGAGGTAGAAGTGTATTTGATGACTGCTGAGCATGTTGCGGCGGAGCAAATTCCAGTAAAGAGACCTGGCGGGCAACTTCCTCACGCACGAATGACTTGATTTCAGCGAGCAAGGTTGTGTGCTCAGGAACTGCTGACAAAGCCGAGAGACCAGCATCACGTAGTGGCGGTCGACAGGTCATCAAGCGCTGCCCCCCAAGCTCGTCGTAACTTTGGCATAATGTAATGACTTCTGTCACAGTGTGAGGGTTCTTGGCCAGGAGCATGGTGAAGGCATCATCGGCGATGCCTTTTAGAACATACGTGATTTTGTCAGCCTCTGACATGTTCAGGTCGACTTTCTTGCACAACTCAAGGATGTCCTCGATGTAACTTGTGAAGGACTCGCCGGTCTGCTGTGCTCGTTCACGTAAACAATGTTCGGCTTGCAGTTTACGAACGGCAGGACGGCCGAACACGTCGACGACAGCGGTCTTAAAAGCGGACCAAGTCGAGAAATCAGATGCGTGGTTGTTGTACCACATTCCGGCCACACCCGCGAGGTAGAAAAACAGGTTGCTGAGTTTACCTGCCTCGTCGCAATGGTTGGGGACGCTCACGCGTTCGTACATGGCCAGCCAGTCCTCGATGTCGGTGCCATCCGCGCCGGTGAAGACAGGAGGGTCGCGGATGCGGGGGACACCGGGACATGGCGTCGGGGCAAGAGAGAGCGTTTGCTGAGCGGCGTCCTGGTGCATGGTAGAAGGCACGGTACGGGATCGAAGCTCCAAGGGCATCGAATGTGAACCGAAGATGTTTGAAGGGCACAGCACTCTCAGCACTCTCCACCAAATTGTTAAGACGTTTATTGGCGGACACTCGTTGATGATCCACGACAGCGACAGTCAATGCGGGGACCGACTCTCTGCACGAGCTGCTCTTCTTCTTATGAAAAGGGCGAACCACTAGAAGGCACTGGAGAGGACGACCCACTGTTCGAAGGCTTTGCCACACTGAATACAGGGGGTTAGTGTTTTGATAGCGGTGCTTACATGCGGTACCATCTGGCGGCGACGCCTGGCTGCCTAGCAACGGCTTCACTTACTTTGTTTTGCTTGCTCAGGGATGAGACTGCGGAGACTAAATTGAGAGCAGTTTATGGAGCAGCCAAATTTCAATTTTGGAGCAGGAAGACCTTGCTTCGGAGCAGTTAGCAGCATTTAATATGTCGTCCTGGGAGCTTGAAAATGCAAATGTTTAGTAACGTGGGGGCACCAGTGCATTGGCTTATAATAGAGATAACACTGAAATTGATTTCGACAAAAGTTTTTAAGCAGATAATCGCCGGGTATGACTTGCACTACGTTTTTACATACCACGCGACCTACCTAGCGCTTGTAACAAGCATGTGAAATAATACTAAAAAAAGGTTTTGTGAAAAACTAGGTTCCTTGGAAACATTTAAAAAGAAAACCGAATCACCCTAAAAAAAACTTCTAGAATTGTAAGTGCACAAGAATTTCAGGTTGCATAACAGGGGTCCTTCATTTAACGAAAAGCCCGACATGTGGGAACCACACACATCAACTATCAAGAGATAGCGCCCCGTGTTGCACAGTAGCAGTGCGCGTGGCCCACTTGCACTCTTCAAAAGCGCCAGCCTACGTGCTGCTCAGGGGAGAGACACCTTGGCTGTCACGAAGGACGGAGACTGTCACCCACGCTAGCCGATTGCTGCTGCCCTGAATAGTGGTTGTTGCGTAGCTGTCTCGTCCCTGGTCCGACTCCACCATATGTTTTGTCTAGCTGAATAATGTTGTTTTTTTATGTGAAGCCTCCATCATCCTTGCTTTACTTATGGTTGAAGTGCAGCAAGCCCGATACCCACACACGATAGCGTTAAGAGCTTTCAACAGACAACAAAAGTGCGGTGCACCGCCGTTCGCGGCCAAATATGCAAGACCCCCTTCAAGAGTGCAGCGCGAGAGCCAAGACACCTTGCTGCACCGACTATCTCATAAAGCGTGTGCGTATGGCAAATAGTACTGATAATGCCTCTCCACGTGCACAACCATGTGTTATTATTACGGCACACATTGGCCAGTTCTGTTTTTTTTAATATCCTAAGTCATCCCCATCGGTCTAGAATTCCCGATAATACATGACTTGCGATTGCCACCCGCGCCGCAACTCGCGCAAAGCGCTCGCACTGCAAATAAAAAACCATGTCAATGCAAGCGAACCACCGAATGTACAAAGGATACTTTTGTTGCAAAGAAAGAATAAAAGAAGGAAAACGAAGTCGCACTTTGGAGTGGCCGCCTGCCGAAACACCGGTCGAACATAAAACTAAGCCTAAAAGCTCGTGTACACCAGAGAAGGCACGCAGTGACACTTCTTAAAGCACTTATTGCGAGTTTCGATAACAAAACGAAGCAGTGGCAAATCACCCTTCATGAAAACTGTGCCATGTGATAACCAGAGAATCATGGGTCGCAAATGAAGCGCCGAGGTGCCTATTTATATAGTTTAAAATGGTTTGAATGTGCGTTCTGTCACCACAGCTTCGCAAATAACCAAGTGTTTCTCTTTACCTGCAAACACCGATGTGCCGATTTTACGCGCGATGGCCTTTTTAAATGCATTGACAACTCGCTAGTCTAAATAAATTAGTAGCTAATGGGCATAACCAGGATTTGGTTGAAGGCGTCCTGTCACTCACAAAACCCATTTTGAGGACCCATGTGCACACGCCAGAGCATCCAGGAGACGCGTCGCATGCAGGGAAAGACTCCATGTTTGCAGTTACTCACTCAGGGCAAACGAGCACGCATAGGGAATCTCATGCAGCAGCATCGACATGAAAACCGCAGTGACCAGAGGAACATGCTACGCACAACAAAGAACCAGAGAGTCAACTCCGGTACGCTCGCCACTCGACTCAGTTGTTATTGCTAGGCGATAGAGGCACCGCAACACACAGCCTAGCTAGTAGAAGCAGCGCACTCGATGCATGGCAGCACATTTTTGCGGGGTCACGCATATTTATAACAAATTAGAAAGGATTATGGCGGCAGAATCCATGGGAACCTTCGACACCATAAAGGTGCAAAGTAAAAATAAACACCATTGGGCGCGTCTTACTAGTCAACTTGGTCTTTTTTCCCCACTGAAGCTAAGGTTGGCATCAAATTTCTAGCTTTCGAGTCCGTTTTCGAGCAGTTCGGTGTAATTTTCGTGATTTCTATGCTTTTGGAGCAGCTTGGGGCGAAAAAAGCAAACGTAACAAAATTACGCCATATGCGCAGCTGTCTCAGCCCTGCTTGCTTTGTGCAGCTCACTCGTGTGAATCCTTCACATTCCTTGAGCTTCTTCGATTAATTTGTCGTGGTGTCGTGAGCAAGGATGTGATTATTCGAAGGTATACGGTCATCGCAATCAAGTAAGATGCGCGCAAGGTTTGTATGTCTTATCAGAAAGCATGGCCCAGGCTTGTGTCTCCAGCTGCCTTGTTGCAGCTTGGTCTGGGGTCAATTTCACAACCACTGCTCAGAGGAGGGTCGAACCGGAAATGATTCGTCATGCCTCAAATCACCACGATTACATATTCCTCAGTGTTTTCATCATCGATTGTGGACGTTGATGGGGGCAACGACCATGGGGGTTGCGAAGACAGTGCCTATACAAGTGCGTGCTGAGCAGACGAAATGTCAACTGAAGGTCGTGTCACTATTTCGTATGGCCATGTGATCAAGTAGTGTGGGACCGTGAGATGAGACCGCTTTGCAGCGGTAGCGCTGAAAATCGGCGCGTTTCGCGCTCGTTTTGAATTGGATTCGAAACTGGTCATAGTAGTCAATAATACATATATTCCTCTCGCATTTTTAGTGCCGAATCACTACTAGGGGATCGGTAACTATGGGTTGATGCAAAAAACACGACATCCATAAAGTTGCAGTCACTGCTCCTTTAACAAGACAACACAATCCATAGCAACAAGAAAAAGGAAAGTACAATACCATTTCTGTAGCGACAGTAGGTACAGCTAGTGGCTCTTATAAAATTCTCATCACCCTTGAATGTTGTCAAGAGTGAGTATGACAGTATGTGACATCTCCTGTCTTAATGCATTTTTTACAGCCACTTGGGGTAGGCAATTCTTATAAAGCAAAACAAGAGCTCACAGCGGTGGCCTTCTCCCGCTTGTCGTGTAGCCGGGCAGCCCGGCGCCCTTCCTGGGCCGAGTGCACCTTGAGAGAATTGTACACGTGATTGGACAGACGCATGTCGAAACCACCACCGTCCCCCGTTGAGATGCCAGGGGGCAGCTCCATCACCCTGCACAACATCCCATACCACTAAGCAGAGGTGTGGGACCACACACAAACATTCATCACAAGGTGGGCCAGGCACCCACTTGTGTCATTCTCTTTAACTGTCGCCGTATCATGTTGCAGAATGGGTCTACACTGATTTGCTTCACAACATGCAAACATTGTGGCCCTACGTGTCGATGGTGCCGCACTGCATTTGAGCTGAAGCCAATAAACACAAAGCGGTTCATTACTCTCTTACCTAGTGCCACCACTACAAATGATCAGGATCTAGGCTCCCATGTCCAGCAAGCAATCACTTTTGGCAATGTTTTCATGATATTTTCACCAGATGCATCAGCATCAATGAGCAATCATCAAAGAGTGATCAAGCTCTAGAGGATACAAAGATATTGAAGGCCTTACTTTTGTTCACTGCATGCATCAACATGCGTTTTTGAAGTTTGTCATATGTACCATTTTCAAGTTGCAATACCGAACAAAAAGGCCATGCTTTTGCTTTCAGGTAACCTGAAAATGTCATGGGTGTCAAAAATTTGGTGTGCAGTCATCAAGAAGAAAGACAGCTATTCTGATGACAAAATTTAGGGCTGCAGTACACACAGTTTCTCACAATTATGCCCAAAGGAAAATCTGGCACTAACGTATATGTGAATCTCTCTAAGGGGCATCGTGCTGTCAGAGAATGACAACACAGTAAAACTAATATGATACTAATAATGTTTGGTGTTTTGTGGTGCAAGAACCATTTGATGGCCAAAGAGCGCCAGGTCAGAGGACTAGACATGTGAACAATGATTATGCTAAGTGTCTGTATAAGGACCTTGGAATTTCTCACACTAAAGTGGATAAAACATAGAAGTAATAAAATTAACCATGACAATAAATGTGTGTAGTGTTAATAGATGGCAAAACTTTGTGATAATAAGACCATGGTGAACATCCAAGGGCCACGAGACAAGTGCTTTGTTGAATTTAACTACCGCAACAGCGACCTCTCTTGAGAGGTCGTGCTGCGGAATGCCCAGGTACATGACATGAAAAGTATGGAAGTCTTTTTAAAAAATTGGTCCTGTATTTGCATGTTTCACTGCAAATGTTGTCAGAAGACGATAGTGTTACCTCTGGAGAGAGAGTGAAGAAAACGTTTATTTGATGTTCTGCATGAGAAAATTGATGAATTGTATTCTGGAGACGCTGCGTTAGAGTGCCTTGATTTGTGCAGCGAAGGCGAACGAGCACATAGAGGCACGTGAGACACGAATGCTTTCTGGCAGTTATCTTCAAAAATGAAGGAAAGCATGCGCACCTGTCTTAGAGGCGATAAGGTGTAGAATGCAAAGCAACGGGCAGGTGCCACCACCATGTCAGTCTTAGCAAAGCGTTGGAAACACTTGCTTTTTTGTGCATAGCGTTGCATTGTCAGTCTAGCGTGATAAATGCTACGGTCTTTAGAATTACTTACGCATGCCTTTTCTAGTATTCTGAAGACACACATAGAGAATATTGATGCATTGTTTTGTGCCTCAGATATGCACAATAATTGCTTTTTAATTGACAACTTGCACAAGTATGAACCTTGAAACTTGAGCACTGTTGGTGAACACTGCGGATTGGGTTGAATTTTGGCTATTTGGGGTATTATTTCGATGGACAAAAAGACAAATGTACAGCCAGACAGACAGACCAAATTTTTGCGTCGAAGTACCCTTTTAAAAGTCTTTAAAGGCCAAGAATGACCTGTGTGTGAAAAGTGGTTCCCTATTGTCAAACACTGCAGGATGAAGTGACATCTGCTGTCGGTAGGGTAATGGAAGTGTTTTCTCAGTGTGTCTAATTTTTTTACACTGGATTAAAATTTGAAGTACGTTGAGTGCTTCTCCACATCTATCACACAAAGATGGATCACCACCAGACAAAATAAATGAATGTGTAGTTTGTGTATGTCCTGTTCCTAATCTTGTCAGTAGGCTTGAGCGAATAGTGATTTTTAGGTTCGAAGCAAATTTGAAGGAAATGGTGATTTCGATCAAATAATTTTGAAACGAATTTGAATTGACTATATGATGTATAAAGAAAAATGGCCATATTTATCATGACCTAACTAACCTGCAAAATACTTTTTTTATTTAATTAAGGCTTCTTTGCAAGTGCTTTCTCTTCTTTCCGGTTCAAAAAATGTCGAAACAACTTCGAAAAGTAGCAGAATTCGACTCAGTAGGATGCAAGTGATAACCTGTAAAATACGTAACATTATTCATTACAGTTAGAGTGTATAAGTCGGCAAAGCAAGCTTTTAAGCTTAAAAAAATTATCAATCGATTTGAGGATCATATGTTGATTTAAAGGGTTCTTCAGCAACTTTTAAAGTATCCATAAAATAGATTCACTAATTGTGAATTCCAGGTCGTGTGCTGCGCTATAATATTAAGCTCATATGTTCTCGGTAGCCTCGACTACCGATTGACAGCGTTTGCTGGCCATGCTCAAACAGTGTTGCAGAGCCCCTTTAAATTTAAAGTGGGGCTTCGCCTCGGAGCAAATTTCTTCTGAATAAATGCTTTCACGGCTTAACACTCCTACACTGCAGCGAAAGCATCCTTACAGACAGTTACATATGGACTAATATAGACCTATTCGTTTGTACCGAATACTGAGTGCACGCTTTTGAGCGCCCCTCGGATTCACAAGCAGATACCACTGTTGTGGTTAAACGATTGAAAGAAAAGATAGCCCCAAAGCGTTTTTATTTTTACGGTGCGCAGGAAGGGGGGGGGGGGCAGCTTGCAGAAGATAGCACCATCAACCACTGAAGATGAGTAAAATGCAACAGAGAAGGTGTTTCCAAACAGTGTACATGTATATAAATGCAAAAGGCTAAGCAACCTAACTTTTATTTTGCATTACCGCATTTTTTTCCTTCTCTCAAAAAAGTTTTCATAAAATGTACCCTGCATAATAAATACATCCCCCAACTTTGCCTTAATTTTTCGAGAAAAAAAGTGTCTTCATTATGTGAGTAAATACGGTATTTAAAAGACATGTAACATCTCTGCAGATAAAGCGACCATACTTTGATTCCGCGTACAAGCCTTCCACGGGGCTAGTGCGAAAAGCACCTGCAGAGAGGCGAATGCCTAGATGACGAACAGGGTCAAGTATTTTTAAGGCAGTAGGTGTTGCAGACTGATGGTTATTGCCCCATAGTCTAAGGGAGTGCGTATGAGGCTTTTATAAAGGTTCATCAGCAGGGGCGTAGCCAGAAATTTTTTTCGGAAGGGGTTCACACCGACCCAACTAGGAGGGGGGGGGGGGGGGGCAAAAATCTGCTTTCCTCTGTGACGTCATTATCAGGGGTAGTTTAAGCAGATTATGTACATGTACTGGTACATCCAAGTTATGAGACTATCCCCCCCACTCCCCATGGATATGCTTGTAAAGAGAGTGAGTAAAAGTAATCGCAGTAAAATACAGTGAACGACAGGCGATTGATTGATATGTGAGGTTTTTAACGTCCCGTAAACCCCCACATATGATTATGAGAGATGCCGTAGTGGAGGGCTCCAGAAATTACGACCACCTGGGGTTCTTCAATATGAGCACATGGACCTACAGCATTTTTGCCTGTATCGAAAAAGCACCTGGGATAACATAAAGGACAAGTAGAGTGACGGTTTGGAGCAACTGCCTCTCATTCCACCATTGAATGGAATAATTTTCGAAAGCACATCATAACGATGACCCGCCCAATAGGGGAAGACATTGTTCGTTAATCTCTGTTATGCATAGATGGCATAGTCCTCATCTGGTGAAGTGCGTTTCAGAAGTGAAGGACGCCTCCGCTTACAATGAGGAATGAGACGTACACGCAACATGTTTTTTTGCATGCATAGCTACACTTCAGTTTTGCTTACTTTGCTGAGCGAATCATTTCTTACTGTCAATGTTTGTGACTGCATGCCTATGGGAATGATTTTCATGTTAAGGTGTTAAGCTCTATATGCCAAGCAGCCCTGACACAGTGATAGCTTTTAGTCAACATTTTTAACTTCGCTGTGCGCATCCAAGCATGCTTGGAATACGCATTAAATACTTTTTTTCTAGTTACACTGCACGTTGGCAACACGATTTTGTATACGTTATGTTTCACACACACTTTTTCGCAATCTTGGTTGACATTAAAGTTGCTGTGTGACTGTTTATAGCAATTATGTACAACAGTCATGGGGTATTATCGTGCGATCTGCTAGGGCAAGGTAATCATTGTTGAGAAATGTTCAGTTGGTCTCAATCGAAAATGCACCTGGGACCAGGCTACACCTATGCACAAAGAAATAGCTTGTTCGCTGCGTATATGCACTAGAAAATTTAAATACGTGCGAAAATGCATAATGCACAAGCTTTTTTTTTTCGTAGATTTCGTCACTATAATCCATGAAACGATCGCATTGCGGCAGGGAGTCTTCCGTTGTTTGCAAGCGTGCGGCCGTCATTTTCTTTTACAATAACATATTCAGAACTACACAGAATATTCCACGGCACAGCCTAGATATGGCGTGCATACTGCTTTAACTAGTGCATGAGTTCATGTTTGCAGCACTTACACCGACGCAAACAGGAGCAGCCCCCGCACAAAATCTTGAGTGATCGGTTCACTAGTGGTGATAAAATGAACTGCGGTCTTCTTCTGAGCATACTGCACCATAATCGATTTCCCAGAACGCATGAACTCCAACGAGAAGTGCCAGCGTATGCAACACAAGTTTACTTACGCTGTACTGTGCACCATCCGTACCTGTCGGTTGTCTATTTCAGGCATTCTGATTCGAGGCGCTGGAAATTGTGGGGATCTGAAACGCGCCCGCGGCCATTTCGCGGGCATTTTGCCGTACAGCCGCTCTCCTTGTTCCTTTCCCGTTGCTCTGGCAACGACGCGTGGCAATAGACAGCGTCACACGCAGGCGCGGCACATGTTCTCGGGAGGCCGAGTCACGTGTGCGCCAG